TTTCCCTACTTCCAATTGTCATTCAAAAGGAATTGTCAAGATACTGTAAAGAAAAGCAACACATGGATAGAGCCAACTGCTACAAAAATAAAAAGCAAATCCTATTCCTACTTATGGCATTCTTGTTCTCTGCACATCTGTTTTTCCACCTGTCTTTTCTCATCAAATTTGTTAACCCATGATACTGTTGCAGTTGTTCTCTCCTACTGTTTCCTTTCTTCCTTAAATTATTCAGTTGTCTGTTCCAGATCTTTTGGAAGAGACACACTCCAATTCTGATCAACTAAATCAACTGATTAACTCTAAATGTCCTGTAGTAGGATCTTTTCCTTCTTGCAAATGGAGATGGGAGAGAAAACAAACCTTCACAAAGACCAGATCTTAACAAGAAGTATTACTTTTCTGAGGTGTAAACATGAACATGGAAGTCAATATTCTTCTGTTCTCAACAGTTGTCTCATATGGTAGTCAAAGAGCAATTGCTGCATTTCAGAAGTAGCTTAAGAAATTACTATACATATTTTGCACATCATTTTACCAGGTTTGACTTTAGAAAGCTGTCAAGTTCTTTGAGGTTCATGCAAAGGCAAAATCAAGAAGTTACTACAGCTGCTTCTATATTTAAAGAAACTGTTCATCTGCCTACAACAGAAACAGCTGCATCAATCTAATGACATTCACAACTGCAGATATTTAGCACTTTAAAAAAAGCAGAACTAAAGAGTTACTGAAGTTAAACATGTCTTCATATCTCCTGGATTTGATATCTCACTAAAACCCTTCTTCCAAGTGCAACAACAGAAACACAAAATTACTTTATGTTTTCTAGGTAAGTAAATACACTGATTTAAATGCTATATATATAGTCCATATTTTGCTGACTAAAATAGGGCCTATTATTAATAGGTTAAGGTTGCTTCAATTAAGGGAGCTAGACACCAGAGTTCACCTTCGAGTTCACTGCCATTCTGAGAAAAAAAATGCAGGAAACAAAGGTGAAAACTAACATACATAGCAGAGTTTTGGTAGTTTCCTTCTAAGTTGCCCAGCATGCATACAAATTAACTCCTCTTGACTTTAACTTGCCAGCTCTGTTCTGCACTACATATTTTAAGGCCTTGACTTTCAAAGTTAGTGGAATAACTGTATACATATGAGTAACAAAAGCAAGATTTAGTGGTATTTAAAGATAAATTTTAATTCAAACTGATTTAATCCTTCTAAGAACCTATTAATCATTATACTTCTCTATAATTAGTATCAACATATATTGCATGAATTAGATCACATATCCACACAGCTCTTTTAAATTATTCTGACCCATCTTTCTTCGTACCGCTTCACAATTAAGATTGGATCTTTTTCTTTAGAAACAATTAGCTTCAAATTGGTCTTAGCAAATGGCTTGCACTCAGATACTATTTCCATCAAAAAATATAAATCATACTCACTGCCTGAGATGACAGGTACTCAGTATATTCAGAGCAAGGAGTATCATAACTGTCTGGCATTACTGATTTTATGTCTTTATACTAGCCACCGCATTAATTTTTTTTCCCTCTTTCTTTGTGAGGATTTTACCTTTCTGGTCTCTTAAATTTATTAACAATGCCATGATGTACTACTTGACTGAAACACCAAAATAAACCAATGTAAAGAAGCACAAAATTAATATTTTACCAGTAATATATGTTTCGGTTGTGCCTGTATGTAATTATTATTAAGTATTAATTTGTCTCTAGTTCCCCAAGTATGTTTGGTATTATTCATTATCCCAATCTGAGTTTAAAAAGTGATCACACAAAACTATAGGAGGGAGACCACATTAAGCACAAAGCAGGCATGTTGGATTCAGCAAGTCCCTGGGCTAAATAAAAATATCGCTTGTCTTTTTTTTATTATTGCATCAGATCATCATCATACTGGACACTGCTAGAGACTAGGTATTTGACTAAATGCATTTTTTATCTCATTTGATAAATGTGCTTTTCTGTTTTTCTGAACACATTTGTTTTAATTACCTCAGACTAAAACCCGGGGCTGTTTCTTCTTTTATTTATGTAAACATTTTCCAGTCTTCTGCTATTTTTCCAAATGCAGTAATATGTTTTCCTGATATAGGGAAATTCCATTTTAGTGGTCAATGTTACTAAAGTAATTTTGAACCCAATGAACCACAATCACTTGCAAGTTAGCTATAAAACCATATACATTCAAGAGCATTTAATTGCAAGAATTAAATCAAAACTTCGAATTAAATCAAAACTTCGCTCTCTGACATTTTTAAGTGAAGAGAATTTTAAACACTCAATGCCTTTTGGCTTCAGATAATAAATGTATCTGATTTCAGGAGTACAGTTGGGAAACAACTACAACCTGACTAGAATACACAAAAATTAAGATCATAGAATCATAAAATAACGATAAAAAACCAAACAAGTTGAATGGGACCTCAGGAGGTCTCTATTCAACCTCATACTCAAAGCAGGGTCAGCTATGAAATCAGACCAGTTTGCTCAAGATTTTCTCCAGCCCCACCCTAAAAGTCTCCATGGACAGAGACTGCACTACTTCCCTGGCCAAGCAGAGAACTTTGGATTTGTCCACATTAACTGTATCTTCTTATTATTTCTAATATAAAAATGTGCACACTTTCTGTGCTGTTTTAATAACACACATGAAAGTCAGCCAAATTTATCTCAGACCTGAGAAGTGGAAGAAAGTTTT